TCGACATCCATTTGCACTCTTTATATAATTTTACTACAATCAAATGATTGATGAGGAATTCAAAATGTATCATGCAGTCATCTGTTAACATTGATGATATCATATTATGCTCCGATATATTTTTAAGCTTCATTTTCAATTTCTTAACAATATTATTTGATGAAGAGGAAGTTGTACTATGATATAAAGCAATAATGCAAGGGTTTCGTAGTCCCTAACTTTTCAGGGTCAGTTTTCATTTTGAGTATATGAAAAAAATTGTACACATACTCGTGAAGATATTATCTATGTTCCTGTCGTCTTACTTTTTCGAAATTCGATTCGGTTCCGCCGGAAAAAAAATTGGAAAATCATCCAAAAACACGTTATTTAGCGATTTTTTTAGAAAAAACTGAATCAAATTTCGAAAAAGTGAGACGACAGGAACATAGATTAGATCTTCACAAACATGTACTAATTTTTTCAACCACTCAAAATGAAAAATTAACCTAAAAAGTTAGGGACTACAAAACCCTTGCATGGCAACAATTTGTATCCAGAGAGTGGCGCCGCTCTCAGAATTGATAGGAATTGACATTTATGAATGGAGATGGTATATATACATTCCTCATTTGCAATGTTTACGAGGGTCTGGCATGTGTAGAAAATACAAATTTCATAATTTCAGTGGGATATCAAATTATCATTATTTCATATCATTTCAGACTGCTTTAAAATACCTATAGAAATTCAAGAATATACGGCAATGTTATTAAGGTGAGGCTCTCACAATTAACGATCATATTTCTTGGGTTCTCGAAACATGGAAAACCTAATTATTACCTATTTTGAAAAATATAACGTTATCAACGTTTATTTACGCGTATAATTTGAATTAGGATTACCTCGGAATAATGACTGTCGAATCAGAAACAATTATTGTGGAAACGATAGAAAATCTACTGCCATCCAGTTCTAGGCATATCAAAAAAATTGTTATCGCAATAAAAAAGGATGCGCTTTTTTATCGTTATCAAAGTTTTTTTCACGACGACTCATTAGCGCTGCGGTTTGACACGCATCTTCTGACCCTCGCCGCATGATTTACGACCTTTTATAAAAAATAGGTACCGCTGTTTGCTGCCTATGGAAAAGAATTTATGATTTGTGCACAGTGGGAGTATTGCGATTTTGAAATATTTTCAACAATGACGCAGGGGCCGTATAATTTGCTGACCTATATTAGAGTATGCTGACCGAGCATTTCTGATTCGATTTTTTTTTTCAAATTACATATCTGAATAGAATATATATATATAAAAATGCCACCAGTGAAATTATTATTATTCTCAATTTATTTATAATTTTTGATTATCGCTTGCTGGATTTTTCGATTTACTCTCAACGAGCCTTTTCCTTTGATACCCATAGTTTAGAAGTATATTGAAAATAGCTATTCCGCCATCTTGGATGGTTCGCCATATTGAATAACGTCACATTCTTTCTCGAATTACTATCAACGAGCCCTTTTATTTGATACCCATTTTGTAGAAGTAGATTAAAAATGACCATTCCGCCATCTTGGATGGTCCGCCATATTCGATTTAGAATGACGTCACATCATTTTTCGAGTTACTCTCAACGAGCTTTTTCATTTGATACCCATATTGTGAAAGTATATCAAAAATAGCTATTCCGCCATCTTTGATGGTCCGCCATATTGGATTTAGAATAACGTCACATCATTTTGCGAATTACTCTCAACTAGCCCTTTCATTTGATACACATATTGTAGAAGTAGACTAAAAATGACCATTCCGCCATCTTGGATGGTCCGCCATACTCAATTTAGAATGACGTCACATTATTCTTCGAGTTACTCTCAACGAGCCTCTTCATTTGATACCCATATTGTGAAAGTATATCAAAAATAGCCGTTCCGCCATCTTGGATAGTCCGCCATATTGGATTTAGAATAACGTGACACAACTTATCGTGCATTGTAATCCAAACTGAACGTGTATACAAAATTTCAGCTCAATCGGTTGAAGATTTCTACTTCAAAATTGAGTTCAAAGATTCCACCCGAACTTACATACATATACATGCATACAAACATACAATGCAAGTTAAATGAAAGCTTTTGAAATATTCAAGGACAGATAATAGAAAAATGGAATATAGGTATTTTTGAAGAATGGCCTTTGATGATATGATTGTTCTCTCATAAGAATGCATATATAAAATATATTTTTTCTACAAACGTCAAAAAATGACAAGGTTTGCGCATTGATAACAAATTGCGAAGTGACACTTTTTTCAGTTTCCTACGTTACCATGATACCTTGCACAAAACAATGCGCGAAGTAAAACAGTGCGCGAAGTACCTACTTCGCGCATTGTTACGTAAAATATATGAGATATTTATATTTCAACCTCATAGTCCTCAATCGAGCAAACATCCACGGAATCATTTATTTCTGGATGTTCAACAATAACTTTGTTCTATCTCTTGCAACGCACGAAAGGAAATTCCTATTTGGTATGCTCGTGGAACATCGTGCGTAACTAGGGAAAGGGGAAGGCCTTTTAAGCCAGTTCAACACTATTTTTTATGTCAAGCTAAGCATATTTTTACATTAGAACTATATTTTTTGACGTTCGTAGAAAAAATGTTGTTTGCAACTCGAGCGCGAAATACTTTGGTCATCTCGACTATTTTTTTAACTCGGCTACGCCTCTTTGGAAAAAATCAGATCTCGATCACCAAAGTAGCATTTCGCGCTCTAGATACAAAAATAACTATTTTGTCTCACGACTGTTTTGTAAAGTGAAATAATCTATTGAATCTCGTTTCGTGAATACTATTTATCAAAAACTTTACTATTCATTACAAAGCTCTTCCGCCATATTGAATCCACTATCTCGAATTTTCTATAATTTTGTCCATTAATCTTTAACCTCGAAAACTCCCAGATACCAATTTTGAATAGAATCCGATTATAAATTACAAAACTCGTCCGCCATATTGGATCCACCATATAGAATTTTTGACGAAGGAATCATAATCTCCGACCATGTAAACCCCCAGATACCAATCTTGAATAGAATCTGATCATAATCACAGAACTCGTTATATTGGGTTCGCCATCTCGAATTTCCTAATTTTGAAGAATTTTTGAACTTATTATCCCATATTTCAGATGAATACAATAAAAAATCAAATATCATGAAAATTGTTCCAGCCGTTGTTGAATTAAAAATGGTGTAACTATCACGAATTTGGACTTCCTTGTATATAGACAGATCTAAACATTCTAAACAATCTAAATTCATCGACTGTTTACCCTAAAAACAGTGCCCCATATCCAAATGCATCTTCAGCTTCTAAACTCTGGAGTTCTCGATCAATTGAATTTCCAAAATTTCTACTTTCTCACACTCATGTCCATTTATTTATTGTCAACTCACGTTCTTGAATTTTCCAGCTTCACATAGGTAGGCACAATAACACATCATGAATAATCATAATTCGAGCACAATCGAAAACTAATAAAATAACATAATACCATAGATTCATAGATTAAAGATTGAAATCTCTTATACATACCAAGGAAGTCTCATACTAAAAATAATTGTGGTTGCAGTATCGTAGATCAATAATAATCTACATGTATACCTACCAATATATTAGAAATCCAACAAAAACTAACATTTGACAACTCCGCTTCTATACGCTGAATGCCATGTTACAGAAATCTGTAAAAAATCGAATTTGCGACCACGCGCGGTAATTCGCAATAGCGGCGATAGATGGTAAAAATTCGGGGTCCCAACTAAATCCCAAACAAGCGTTACCGTCTGAATGCATGGGCGGTGTATATCTAGGGGAGTCGTTAATCTATGCCTAAGGTGAACGGACATACTGGCCTTCATCAGAAGAACACGGAGGTCGAAAAGGAGAATTAGGAGGAGGAAGAGTGTGTGCAGCAGGAATCCATGCATGGGGGGCTACTTGCTAAGCGACCGCCTCCTCTTTCACTACTACTACTCTATAGTAGGTATGTACAGTCGTCCTCAAAAAACATGTCGCGGTTAGACGGTGTGAGCGCTCTTATTGCAGCTGTCATTTAGTGAGCACACACCGTCCATGTGCGACATGTTCATTGAAGACGAGTGTACCTACCAATGGAAAATTAATTGATAAAATTATAATTTTACATCACTGTCTTGTAGTAACCCGAAGTTGATATAAAATGGAAGATGTTACATTCTAAACTCGTATTTTCATCCAACCACAATAGATAGAAATAAGGGATTTGTAAGATAGGAATCTATGATTGGTGCCGAAACTGCCATCCGAACTGAATTTGTTCATGAAGCTACTTATATGAAAATCAAATGAATTGATGAATTCTGAAATTATTCAATTTCCAAACACGTGGTAATATATAACTGAATAATCTTCAATCCCACGATTTTGAATATTATACAGGGTGTTTCAGATTCAAATGTACAATATTCGATACCTGTAGTTAAAGGACACTTCGGTGGTTCCAAATCACCCCCTATCGATCTTTTTTAACTGACATACGTCATCTTGATTTTGTCAAAATATCCATTCAACTTTTGGAACACTTATATTATACTCATCAAAACTAGATAGGAAGTGAACTTAGAATCCAGGTATGTCTTCAGGAAAAACAGCAACTTCCATTTCAAAAACAATACCCTCTGTGTATATAGCAGGATTTTGTTGATTTGTTTTGAAGTAATGTTACTATCGATGTAGGTAACTAAAACTTGTGTGCTATTTGATGATTCAATGGTCTCATGGACTACTCTAAGTTTGAAATTATCGGATTTTTCGTAGCATTAAAGGAGGGGACCCAATATAGACCTCTCAGGAACCCCTAACTCTGTGTCAATATCATACGACTGTAATCGACATTCATCAACTTTCACATGCGGTATTAATAGTAGGTAATTAACTTGGAGATGTGTAGGAAAATAATGCTTACTTTTGTTTGGTAGGGTTCACAGAATTCCTGTCGATATCTTCATCGTATTCAGTCCTGACAAAGTCGAGAGCACCATCATCTCCAAATGCACCCCACTCAGAGTTGATGAGGACATTTCCAGATCCCATATTAACGTCATTCCAGGTTTCAGCGTTTTCTTGTTTCTCTACATAACAGGTATTACTTCCAGTGCCTAGATAGTAAAATTACATAAGAAGTAACAAACATGATGATCTAAAGCACATTTTAGTACAATCCCAAAAGTCATAATTAATCACTAGATAGCATGCAGTTGTATACAAGGTGATCTATGTAATTATGCGAAAAATAGTGGCGCATAAGTCTGCTATCTCAAAAAGTTCTTACACAGATTCATAGCAATCCGCGTGAATTCATGACATTTATTTGAACTCACACCTGCGATGAAACGCCACTGAAAAATCTAGTGACTCCCTGGCATTGCAAGCAAGCCAGTTGCAACTGCCACGTTCTAGTCCAATGTGCAATAATTTTTTTATCTCTAGGAGCGCACGAAAGGGTGGGTCCCCACTCTCGTCATGGTAGCGGTACGTGTGAAAGGCCGCGAATGGCGATACACCAGTCATCGTAGGCAAAGCCGGTTCCTTTCCTGTAAACGAGGTAGAGAAACGTGTAAAATTCCTCGAACGATCACTCCCTTAACGGGACGAGAGGATTCTTGTCAACATGAGTAGCAATCAGGTCAAAGCCTCATGCGACTGCGACCCATCAAACGTAACAAGAGGAATCTTGTTGACATGGGCACCTGGGGTGATGAGGATAGCCCCATCAGGTCGTAGATACGGCCTGATGCCTCACCAATTGGGTTGGTCTCCAGGGGGCAGCGGTTTCCAAAAAACACCACCGGACTACGGTGGATGAGGAGAAGAAGAATCCCACTATGGGTTAAGTGGGAGGATATCTTGCCTGCCTCGGTGGGTGAGCAGCGTTTCTGCTCGGGCACTGACACTGCAGAGCCAATAGTCTGTTTTTTCAGACGGCCTCACCATTGGTGTAATGAAATGGTAGCAGGAGAATAGGTTACATAACAGAGATGGCTCTAGCGCTCTGATTTGGCGTATTCGAATCCTCCATTTCTCCCTGGGGTGCTGTCGGTATAAGTCGAAAGATAGGTGACCGGCAGTCATCCCCTATGGGAGTCTTGTGAGAGGGGGGTGGGAATTGGTCCCACCCGGTTGCTACCCCGGCAACATATTGATTATTATTATTATTATTATAGTGTTCATGGAATATCATGTGTACCTAGGGAGGATAGGGAGAGGAGGTAGGTGTTGGATTTCTGTTAGAACTTTTGGAGGTTATAAGTTCTTGGGAATTCCAAAGCTTCGCCGTTCTATAGACGAACGAGTTTCAGTAGAATGTTGTTCAACATTTTTCGAGGTTAACGACGAAGGGATGTGCTGACTAGGCCTGTCGAGTTCGTCTGAATGGTATTGCTAGTGATGGAATTATAGCAGACATTTCTGAGGAACATTTCCCGTGGAAGTATCCATAGAAAAGTGGAAGGTCGCCGACTTTTCTATGGTGTTCTGATGGGGTCAAAGAGTTAGTGAGTGTGGCAGCACCCACCAGGCGAATGGCTCTTCTCTGAATGGACTCTAAGAGCATCAGCGTATGTTTGGGTGCTGAAGCCCATACATGAGAACAGTATTCTGAAACTGGCCGAATCTGTGCTTTGTAGATCATGAGAAGCTGTTGAGGTGTAAAGTAGATTTTCGCACGGAACAAGAATCCAAGTTTTCGTGAAGTAGCTTTTGCGATGGATCGGACATGATTTTCCCCATGAGAGAGTATTGCTGATGGTAATACCGAGCATAGATATAGTGGTCTTGGTGAGAATGGTGGTACCAGACATTGTTATTTCAGGCATACTGGGTTCCGTTGTTCTAGAGAAAATACAGGCTCAAGTTTTGGTGGCGCTGAATTCAATTAGGATGTTGGTTCCCCAGGCTGTAATTTCCGCAAGATCTTCATTGCCAACGTTGGCCTACTTTTGTCGTAAGTTCTTAGTTTCCAGAAAATAAATGGGAATTCTAGAAGAAAACGCAGTATGGAGAGTACCATCGACATCGCAAAAGATCGTTGATATGAAGTAGGAACAATGTTGGTGCCAAATTTGATCCTTGTGGAACGCCGGAATTGAGGTATCAGACGATGGATGGAGCGATCTGCCTGAAAGTAAACTCGATAGATGGCATAGCTGAGGTGGTAAGCCGTATCATGGTAATTTGTGGAGTAGTCCTTGTTTTTCTAATGAAGCTTGCCATATATGGGTGACGTAGACAAGAAAATGTTCAGTTGATCTTCGGATTCATCATTAATGATTTCTGAGCTTTCCAGACATTTGATGAGCTCAATGTTGATGGATTTCTTTGGAGATGGCTGATAACAGGGCAATAGGCCTATAGTTGTTGGGCACGCTTTTGTTTGGGTTGAGGGCGTTTGGCCGCCATTGATATTTTTTATTCAATGGGAATCGAGTTGGTAATAAATAGTGACGATATGGCATGGAATATCGTGACTGATACTGATTTATGATGCAGTTTACGTGATAATGTTTTGATATTATCTGATGGGCGCCGAATGAATTCCAGAACGATTCTTAAAGTGGTACAGAATTTGTATTAACACCTGATGATCATCACCGAGAACGTGCTATGAATCGTCCTGTCTCTGTGGATGAAGGGGTTTTACAACCAGTAGATGTTAATACCGCGATAAGTAACCGCATATCAGTCAGAGATGGGGTTATCCCAAAATATGGTTAGACGTATTATTCATGAAAATCGTTTCCACCCATACGATATTTAATTTCTATTTAGGGAAGCACAAATATTTCACGCCTCAAACCACTAATGAAATTACAATACAGATCAATCAAGTGCATTTTCCATTTGAATTTTCCAGAACCAGTAGTAAATTTATACAAAACTAGAAAATGTCTAAATCTGATTTCGTTATGTAAACTCAAAATATGTTGTTTTATTCATTTTGTCGAAAATAAATTTAAAATAACTTTTAATGAAGTCAATACAGTCCATACTTATGGGACTAAACAATTCAATTACTTGATAGCAAATACATTCAAGTCGAACATTGGCAAACAATCTATATTTCATAATGGAATAATTTTATACAATTCATTACCGGATGAATTCGAGAATATTCATGATGTAAGAAGATTTAAAGTCAATCTCAAACAATACCTGATCAGGACAATTTGATTGAAAAATATTCGACATGATTTGATTACTCAGAATAGTTAACCTTTTAATATTATTATTTTTTATATGTGTTCATGTATCCCTATTATGAACAGATATGTTTCTTGGGGTAATACAATCAATCAATCAATCAATCAATCAAATGAACAAGTGCCCAAGTCGGGACACCTTCCACGTCGTCGAAACGTACGAAATCTTTAATTCTAGAATTAGTCAAGTACTTTACTGGCTGAGGAAAACCCTTATGCACATCATCCATTCAGATCCTAGCGACAGTTTTCAATTAATACACATTTCACATTTGTTGGGGAGAATGTGTGAGAATTCTTTGCTCAAAATATAGTGCACTGAGTGTAATGTTTCAACAGTTGCTCGATTTCTTTGACTTATTTTATGCTATGTTGTGTTGTTATCTGCACAAATTAGTTATTTATACACTAAGGTGTATATTGAAATTTTTCACCGCTAGCCTAGCTATATACAGCGTGTCTCACTTTAAATTGCTCCCCCTCTATATCTCAGCTATTAGTCGTGCGATTCGCACCAAATTTGGACTGATATGAATATTTAGTAGCCATGACTGTGACAGCATATGAAAAGTCGTTACTGATAAATACCTACTAGATTCGAGTAGAATTCCTACGTATATCTCGCATCAGAACAGTGAAATTCGGGTTGATTATAAGAGAGGTGGTGAATAATTTCATTTGTAGTACATATAATGCTAAAACCGCGCGAGGTATGTGTTTTTGTGGGAGCTGCTCCATCAATTGGCTTTGGGAAGACTATACCAAGAGAGACAGGCTTTAACGTCAAGGGCGGATTGCTACTAAAAGTATAATGTATTTTACTCCTTTCTTTCGAATTTCGCATCGACCCACTGTCTTATTCTTCGCATTCTTATATAGATCATCTTGTAGACATTGATATTTTCACACTTGAGTGGAGGATGATAATATGGAATTTTTGTTTTGAAAAATCGGTCAACAGGTTCCAAATTAGGAGGGTGTTGCGGGTTGAAATCGCACACACTATATTTATAATTATCATGATATAATAGGAAATATCGGAGAGTTGAGTAAATCGGGAAACAAGCAAACTACTGTATTGCTTTGCCAAGCTTTCGAAAATTTTTATTTTCTTCTTCAAGGCTGAAACAATATATGGTATATGAAACATTTTGTTACAATTCAATAAAAACAAGAACTTACTTGCAATGTGAGTTAAAAGGTATAAATTGGAATAATAATGAGTATAAAAAATATAGATGATGTAGACAAAAAATTGATAGGACAGTGTCAAAAGTCATATAATTTATATAGGTACTGGAAGAAATTAAAGTATAAGATTAGATTATTGTTGAATATCTTATAAGGTAGAGTCATTTTGAATATCATCATGAACGAAAGATAATACATAAGAATATATCTGACTGAGATTATCAATATCTGTTTTCTTATTCAAAGTATATTCCTCATTATTAGCCCGATTGACTGAACTCCCCGATATTTCTCATTATATCATAATATAATACAGTCGATAAACTATTCAATTTATAATTATTCATATACAGGGTGAGTCATGAGGAACTGTACATACTCTTACCATGAATAGAGGCCCTTGAGGGGAATACCTAATGACCATCAGAAAGTGTCTTCTTCTCTTCTTTACCAATATATAGGGTGAATTATGAGATTTGACAAAAACAACTTTTGGTCATAACTTTTCAACAGCTCTTTCGACATGACTCACCCTGTATATTTATGATTTATGAATGGAACACCATGTAAGTATAATATTTTTTTATTGGGATTTTATAGACATTTATAGATATCTATAAAAACAATGAACCATGCAAGAAACTTTCATTCGTTTCATAATTAGTTAAATGCAAACTGTGGGGTAGGCCATGCATGACACTAAGCATACACTAAGGGTTAAAAAATCTGCACCTACCAACAATGAGCCCGATCCTGGTGCTGCGATTTTTCCAAGCACATGACATTAGGGTTCCCGTAGTATCGTTTAAAATTGCACAAATCTCAATTTCAACATCCTATAAAGAAAAATATGGCATGCATAAAAATGATGGAAATTTGTAGGTTAGCTGGTATCCCAAAATGCGAATAAAGGTAATTGGTAATTGGTAATGAGAAGATGTATTCCCCAAATTATACCTTCCTTTCCTACAGTTTTTTTCAATTCTAATTCCAATATTAACAACAAATCATTTATTTTCCATAATAATGAATTAAATTAATATAAACTACTTGACATATGCAGTGGTTATCTGGATATTTCAGCCAATTTTGGAAACAAATACTTATTATGAAAAATACTAGTCCGATTCTAGAACCATTTGTTCGTAGCTGTGTCATGGTCGTTGGAGAATTATTGAAGTTTGTGATTTCATATCTGCAGGAAGAAACATGGACCCATTAGCCCATTACAATAATTAATATTCGCGAAGTTATCCCAATAATACGGAAACATTTTCGGAATTTTTTTGATTGCTTGATGCGTTTTGCCAAAATGCTTCCGAGAGTTTTTCGTTAGCACTGTGTGTTAGCACACAACTTCGTTAGCAGTCTTCATTGACACACAAATTTGTTTTATGGAAAGTTGTCGTTTTTTTGGAATGTTCTTAATTTTATCTGACCTCTGTTGATAAAATAAAAGAGTTTATCAATGACATCGGAGGAAGTCATCACTTCAATTTCTTTGAGCGAATAATTCTAGATACGAAAGAATCGTAAGTTCAATCATGTGTATATTGTGATTTGAACTTTGAACATATGGCGATGGGTTAATTCAAGTTGATGACAATGCTCGCCCTCATTCTGATGAAATTGAAAATACATTTTTGGAGGCGAATGTAATGAATAACATGGTTTGGCCAGCACGATCGCCAGACATGAACCCAATCGAACAAGTTTAGAGCCGCTAGCAATTGGAAATAACCCGACGTATCGGAAAGCTAATCACGTTAGAGAATTTTTGGAGAATGATCCAGGAAGAGTGTGATAGAGAATGCCATGCCAATTTATACATACATTAGTAGAGAGAATAACAGCATAGACTCCCTACTAGACACTAAACTTTTCTGATGTCTCAGTACATCAAATGAAAGATGAATGTTTGCTTGAAAGTTTAAATCTTGTGAAAGCAATAATTAGATAAATGTTTGCATGGAAGTTATAATTTTCTAAGTAAATCATGCGAAAGCAATAATTTTCAATACCTTGTATATTACTGACGAAAGAATGAATGGTTTGGAGAACACTTATCACAACTTATTATACCCCATGAAGAGTATTTTCATACCTGAAGTTACAACACTAGGTCACTGATTTGATATTCAGAGAGGAGTTGAACGACATGATTTGAATATTGGAAAAACTATTCTGTAACAGAAGATCAAAAATGATTTCAGGAATGATATACCAAATCCCGAATCACTCTGTGTGGATGGATATTCGTTCAATATCAATGAAATATATATAATATAAAATATAATATGTATATATAATGGACTAAATTTTACTCGAGGAGTTTAGCACATAGCTACATATTAGTCCACTTACATTTGATGCACTGACATGTATTGTATAAGGTACCTACTTATGCTCGTAATATGATACATACCTCCTTATTGTTTGTTCTTTCTCATTATTTTCTTCCTACTCGCTTTTGGTAGGTATCATGTGATTATTTTTTTTCCACCACTGGTATATCTGTATTAATCATGAGTTTTTGCTACCTCGAACTGTATGAACTTCTTGTTATGAAACCACGTGTTTCTGTAAACAATACAGATTCTATTCGATTCTATTCTATCAATGAAATTGAAGTGATGACCTTCTCCCTATATCAATATCATGAATAAACTCTCTTATTTTATGAACAGATCAGCTGAAATTAAGGACATTCCAAAAAAACGTCAACTCATTTGAAAAATGTTGAACGCCAATGAAGTCCGCTAGCGAAAAAATCAGAAAGCTTTTCGGCGAAACACAACAAGCAATCATAATATGCCCTGGAAAAAAATTCGAAAATGTTTGCATATCATTATCTTATGGATAACTTCGAAAATATTAATTTTTGTAATGGGTCTTTGTTTTCCCTGTAGATCTGAAAACACAATCTTCCTGAACAGTGTACAGTTGTGTGCATGATGAAAATAGACTGGTGTAACCACTTGTCAATTGTTTCTTTCCAAAACGTGTAGACCGCGAAACACCGTAGCAAGGCCGCACCGGATTGACTGTAGATGGAGTAGGGAACATCGTGCCACATATACTTCACAGATATAACGTCTTTTTCATTAAATCAATCACTTTTCCTCAATGTTTTCAAATTATGAATTAATATACGTAAATTTAAACAACAAAACAATGCAACCATTGTGTAGCAAGTAGCAAGATCACTTCAAGGGATCACTTCGGGAACAGCGCCATCTAGCGTTAGTTTTGCGCGGCCTTACTACGGTGATAGAATTCGACATAATCAAGTAAGTAGGCCAGAGGTCTACAAAAATGTCTAGGGTTTTGTAAGAGGGAGCTATTTCACCATACATATATCCACCTTTGTTGTGTGCATAAGCAAGTCGTACAAGCTTTGTATGGTGTAAACCTGCCTATGATGTTACAGATTTCATTAAAAAGTAGTACACGCACACATTCGCGTGTTACTGACAAAAATAGTTTGAGTTTTGACACTACTTGTCAAAGTCGATAAGAAGATTGATCAAGATTGACAAGCCTGACTCACAATAGCCAGTAACTGCTGTACGACTTGTTTATACACACAACTGTACGTCAACTATCTAATTCTCGAACGATTGTTATACAACATGGAAGAAACTGTTCCAGAATCGGGCTAGTATTTTTCATAACACATATTTGATTTCAAAATTGAGTAAAACATTCAGGTGAACCACATTTCAATTGTCAAGCATATAAGAACTGAAGGAATTAGAAAGGAACACTGGCTCATTCCTGTATTAAGTTTTAGTACATTCCACATTCCCTATTATGTTCCAGTGTTTTCCAAGTAGATGTCACCATAGTTAACCCATCATGCGAAGTGCTGAATAATTAGCGTTAGACCAGGCTGTCTTCTTTATTTATGGAAAACTCACCAACGATAGCGCCAATTCGGCATTGGTGGTTCAACCAAGCACATGACATCAGAGTGCCAGTTGAATCATTTAGAATTGCCATGACTGATATAGATACATCCTGAAATCGTATTCGATGGATAAGATTTTTCCTGGTGGAAACACATTATTTACTCATATTTTACATTATGGTCAACTCGTTTCATGTAATTTCTGAAAATTGGTGAACTAATGTTGAAAGGCTGCTTGAAAATTTCTATCTTTGAATTGAAGAGTGGAAGTAACAAAGGTGCTAAGTGCCATAATTTCATGAATTGAGATATTGCCGTAGAACGGTGTTGAACGACATGCTTCATGACCTGACAAAAGCTGTGAGTGCCATGAGTGATATTATCCTTCCCACAACAACAATTAGATGGAGCAAGCGGTAAGCGACAACGGTTTATTTGCCATCAAAGGTGGCAAGTACCAGAGTGAATTGCTGTATTGTCGAATTATTAGTTACGCTCGTGCGTAATAACTGTCAACACGTATGTTGTCTGTCATACAAACCATGTATTGAAATAATACTCATATTTTTATTTTATAGAAACGAGCAGAGAAAATCTCATATAATCAAGTAAAATGAATGTACCACCTCCTCGATCAACCTACAGACAGTATTAAAAGGAAAAACTGTTAGAGATTCAATGAAGGTTGAACTTCTTGGACTCCCACCAGCAAACAAAATATCTGAAAACAAAAAAAGGCTTCCACTCTTCAATTCATGTGCTATATGGCTGTATTCACCTACTTCCTAAGGTAGATCATCATTTATCTACGGATTATGTATACCAATTACTATTTATCTATGGAATATATTCATCAATTTTTTATATAATTTTATCAATTGATTATATCGTCTTGAGTTCATCAAGCTTCAGTGAAATGAAATATTTTCAATGAATTATTCAATTATTGAATGAGTTTCTCTATCCAATGATATCACAAGAAAAGTTCTTCATTGCTGAAAAATTTCTTTGAAAAATGTGTGCATTCCACTCTCTCTTCCTACTAAACTAAAATTGGAGTGTTTCTATAACAAGGCCTGAAATCCGAGTTTGGAAAATGACCTCGAAGAACTGAATGGGTAACTATCCGAATAGTACGTTTTGTGACATTCTTCAAAATAGATTTTTTCATTTCAAATCCAGAACAAAGTTTCCGCAAAAACAAAACCCATTTCAATGACATGGGACCATTTTTATGGAAAATGTGTTTTACTTTTGCGGAGTTGAGAAATCTACTTCAATCCTCCATCCTGTGTACAGGGATAGGTTTCAATAAAGAATTAATTATGATGTCTGAATGCAGCAAAGTTGGTAGAACTGACAATTATTCGTAAAAAAATTCGATTGAAAACTGGTTGAATTGAAAATAACAAGAGGTCAGTCCATAAAAAAATTCAATTGTAATTAATCTAGATCAATATTAGGTTTGGTGAGGCCAACATTGAATTTCCCATGTAAACACGTTCGGTAGAGAAAAACTACTCTGAGAATAACTACCAGTTTTCAGCTCTACCAACCTTAGAATGCAGTACTGATGATGGCACCATCTTTTGGTCACGCCAATGTAATATCGAACATTTATCCATGAAATAGGATTTTTATTAAATGTTTCACTTATGTAAGGGCAAACATTTTCACTCTCACCAGTCAGAGAACTCGGAATGTGACGTTCTTGTCAATGTCAAAATACTCCTAAACTCCACTGAACAGAAGGAAGAGCTGAGATCTACGGCCAGTTTTTCAAAGAATTGTAGGAACAGTGCGGTGTTTCCTATATCTAGGTACTAAACAAAATGGAGCTGACACACAACATGACGTTACGAAATAGCTGCACTATAAACATAGCAATTCTTTCATAATTACTTTCATAGTTTCACATTCCAAATGTAGATATATGGATGTACTCTTCCCTGAGCAAGAAGAGAAAGGAAGATGCGAGAAGCATTGATATAAGCGGAAACATGTTCTTGTCTTTGTCTGACAAAACATGCGATTTACTTCAAAATCGTTTTTCGTTAAGTCTCACTGCTTGTCGAGTGTCCGTACTCTAATATACAAAACACGTCAAAACAAGTCAAGTGTCAAGTACTTTAAGGAACTCTAGCACCAACTAGCGAAAAATCGAAGCTGTTTGCCCTTATCACAAGTGACCACTTTCAACGGACAGACTCACCCCCCTTCGATCAATGGCCTCGTTCAACATTTGCACCACGTCATTACCCACCACATTCGAGCAATTGAACCCTTTCGTCCACCGCTCGAGGTAGCCGATCGTCAGGCCCTTCTGAGATAGGGGGAAGCTGAAGGTGAAGCCCAAGGGCAACCGCTGGTCAGCAACCTGTAAGAAAGCTACGTTGAATGGGTTTGATCATCAGATTTAATATCAAATCGAATTTATATTGGTTGAAAATAACAACACCCGGTACCTTCCACAGATTACCGAAGTCGAGCCTAAACCTACATATATCTACTGATATCAGTTTATAACCCTATTGAAAGAGTAGGTAGTAAATGAAGGGTATTCAATATGTTGTGACCAGAATACTTGTAGGGTTAATTACCAAACTATTGTCATAATCTAAGGTGAATATTGACATGGTATCGGCGAGATAGTTTGGCATTTTTCTAGCGTTTTCTGGATAATTAATTCCAAACAAATATTGTAAGGGATCTCGGTTATTTTAGAGCCTTTACCCAAAGACAACCATAATATAGTTCCTTAGAAGAAGAATAAATAAAATTGTCAAGTGAGACTTGGATGGTTGAAACATATGTTGAATGTTGTTTATGTTTTTTCTTTGAGGGACACCAGGCTAGTTGAGAGATTTATTAACATTTACAGACCACCGAAAAGATTGAATAACAACACATGAATAGTCAGATAAAATTTGGCGCTTGCTTTTGCGTCTCCATGTCACATACAGCATACAAAACTAATCTTTTAGACAATTTTGGGGTAGTTCGTTTCAGTTTTGTCTTGTTCGGGTTTGTCACGTGACGCGGAAAACTGGTGAAATTTATTTCTTATTCTAAAAAATTCACTTCCATTATGAGTTGAAGAGTTATCAACTGCATGAGTTGATAACTCAATGATCATATATCATAATAGTAATTATTCATTACCATGCAGAGATATAATTATTTCCATACATTAATTTGATCCAGTTGATATCCAGTTATAGCATTGTGTCAATCAGATAGGCCCAGATCCTATTTTAATTCGTTTACAATCATTTATTATCCATCTGATAATAAACATGAATAATTCAGTTAGGAATCCGAATAATTTGATGATTTATGGATATCCTTCCTATCCTTTTTCAGGTTCATTTAAAATCAATAGTAAAGTTAACGTAATTCAATGTTTTAACTAATAACTAGAGAGTGGCTCAAAGTTGAATTATTGATATTGAATAGTAAAAATATGCAAGCTCAGATATTTTACTAGTGTGATGCATAAGCGTGGATATGTCATAAGCAGGAAGCTGGGACTTTGGCCAATAAAAGGTGAGCTGATTATGGTATATTGTGTATGATTATGTTTGCATTTCTATGAGAACCTACTTGCCGACCTGTCGGAACACTTGTAAAACTGGTCTTTCCGTCAGCCCCTATAGTTTGCTACCCCTGAGTAACCCCCCATAACCAAGTTACTGTGTCACAAATGGTGTAGACGCCGCGCATCTCGAGTAGATAAAAGATGGTTTTCGGTAACTTGATGTTAAAACGATTGTTTTCTAGTTTTGACGAAAAAGTTGCCATCAGCGAGAGTGAAACTAGTTCCGACAACGAAGAAAACGACAGCAGTAGTGACGAGGACTTTGTTGAAACTGAAAATCTCACTGAAAGTGTACCGAAGATGGCAGAAGAGGTATATACATCTGTGATTCCCAAAGCTTTTGGGGGTTCACCTGGAGAAAACGTTGAGGAATTCATCAAAATTTTTGAGCGAGCAGCGAAAGCAAATCGCTGGTCTGCAGAAACTAAACTTCTACAGCTTTCCTATTATTTAGCAAATGCAGCTTTGGACTTCTACGAAACAGTAGAAAATGACTGCAGAGACTTCGATGGTGCTGCAGAAAAATTGAATAAGTTGTTTATCTTATGTACAATGACACTTAGTTGGCTAAGGAAAAAAGTGTGAAATATGAAAAACACTTGTAATTAGAGAGTATTGGGTTGAAAATGAAAATAAAACACGTTTGTCAATTTCATGTATCTGCCTATTATTTTTTTTACGTTCTAGGTGATGATACATAGAACCCGAAGACATCGAGGGCGATGTTTTTTCAAAGTGGAGGAGTGTCGCGATCAGCCCACCATAGGCGGTACGGACTCCAGACGGCTTGCTAATCCTGAGGCATCAGAAAAGCGCGGTGTACGAGGAGCGGAGGGGACTATGCACTTTACCTTCGGAACACTTGTAAAACATGTAATCAGTTGTAACTTTACCTCCATGTATTAAGAACTCAATACAGAATTCTGGTCTTTCCGTCAACCCCTATATTTTGCTTCCCCTGAGTAAACCCCCATAACCAAGTAACTGTGTCACAATATATTAAATTAAGTGGTTTTAAGACAGGCCAATGAATTTGTAATCAATATAGGTTAAATACTCATCAGAGACCACCTCGTTTACAGACCTTTTCCTCCTTCACGAAGATGGCGAGACACTCTGCGATGTGATCGAACAGCTGTTCGCCGGAGCCGAGCATGATGTGTTGAGGGATGGCGAAGATCTTCGACTTCATCTCGAAGTGCTCGTGGCTGAGCTCGATCAGCAAGACACGGAAGTTGGTGCCACCCAGGTCTAGAGCCAAGAATTTACCGGTTTCTGAAGAAAAAATGAGGTGTTGGATTTTTATATTTCCAATGGGTGGTAGGGACGTCGAATAACAGAGAAAACGGTGGTGCTCTACTGCTATTGCAGTCATGACCGATTACATCAACTTCAATACACGTAGGGATGAGACTACTATAATATGCTCTTTATAAGACAGTGTCCAAGTGCCCATGTTATAATGCAGATAGGGCCTGGACCAGACAATCTGGCCAGCGAGTTCATTAAAAGTTGTGCTGAAAGCCTAACCACGCCGCTGTTCATAATTTTCAATAAATCCTTGAGAGAAGGATGCCTAGCAGCGCCTAGTTGTAAAGACTGAGTCCAATTTTTATGAAAATTTGCAAGAACAGTGGAACAGGAGTGGCTTTTTAACTTCGAATGTGAAACTTCATGGGCAACTTTACAGAGAAGATCTTTAAGTAGAGGCCAAATAGAACGAAAGAAGAAGTACAATTATTAGAAGAAAATAAAGTTGTTGCATTTCCGCGCCACCATACTTAATTGACTTGGAATAACAATAAGAAAGTCGGTATACCTAAGTAGTCAAGTGACAACGAAATTATTTAACTATGCGTCATTCAGTTGTTTTTCATGTTATATTTTTGACATTTGTATCAAGAATATAGTTCCTTAAACCCATATTTCAAAAAAAAAACAATTGAATATCACTTCCGGTGCAGTGAATTCCTTTCTGAAAAACTAAGATCAGACATGTAGAGTGCATAAAAATGAGCAGCATAATTATTTACTTATATCATAAAATTTTCCATTTTATTTCTACAGGCATCTTCTGATTTTCCGAAAATTCATATAACAATACTTTCATCTTATCTTCGAGATACGCCCCTGGCGCCCATTTATACATTTCGCCAAGAATTTAAACGCCGCTACCGTTTATGGTTCACTTACAGTGTTGCAGCTGATGCATGATTTGTTCGTCCGCCATATTGAATACGCATTCTAGTCGTAACATATGAATAAGGTTTTGAGTTCTGTGGTTTATACTCAGTCGCGTATACATCGTTGCCAGTATTTCGTCAGAGTAAGTTCCCAAAACAACAGGAATACGACATCCGAATCATATACTTATTTGTTTTTGCAAAATAATGCCTGTTGATTGATTGGAAACAAATCCATATTTTATGATGTGAATAAATATCAGGAATAGTTGAATCAGACAAATGTTTCTACGATAACAGAATAAAAACAAACACACGTGAAAAAATCAATGTCTGGGCCATATTTTCATTTTATCTTATTGTGATGAATCATTTTCATCTAGTTTATGAAACATACTGTACTTTTAGTTGTGACATTTGTCATATTGTTATATTCTGATATGTCTATCATTTTGCTCAATAAAGCCAATCCTTTGGTTTGAATATTCTTCACAATTTATTGAGCAAAATTTTCCATAATACCCGATATGGATAGATATTTACGCCCAGAACGTTTCGAAGCTGATCCAAACTCGAATTCTGCAAGTTCGGAATGGGTCCACTGGAAACAAACCTTCAAAAATTTCCTTGCTGTGCGAACAGGGGAACAATCAGAAGAAGTTAAACTACAACTACTAATCAATCATGTTGCTCCAAGTGTATACATCCTCATAAATGAATGTAAAGATTTCGAATCTGCCCTGAGAGTAATCGATTCCGTTTACTTGAAGAAAAAGAATGTGATATACGCTCGACACCATCTTGCAACGCGATGCCAGAAGCCAGAAGAGAATGTTGATCAATATTTACAAGCACTCAAACTGTTAGCGAAAGACTGTGAGTTCAAATCTGTCACAGCTGATGAGAATAAGGATGACTATATAAGAGATTCATTCATTACGGGATTATCGTCGGCTGCTATACGCCAGCGATTACTGGAAAATGAAACCCTTGAGCTCGACGAAGCATTCAATCAAGGTAGATCATTGGAAATGGCCCAACGTCACTCTAATAACTTCAATATTTCGAATACATCATTCATAAACGCAATACCTGATGAATCTTCTCTAAGAGTTGCCGAGTCTATAGCAGTTGCAACTACTTCTAAAGTCGATACGAAGTGTTTCTTTTGTGGTTATTCTAGACATCCTCGTTATGAATGTCCAGCTGCCAATGTAACATGCAAAACTTGTCAAAAACGTGGACATTTCGCCAAAGTTTGTCAAAGCAAGAAATATAACGCGAAAATGGTGTCTGCTGCTGAAATACTCTCTTGCTCGCACATAGTTAATGCATCACTTGATAAAGCTAAAGTTTGCGTTTTCGTCAATGGAATCAAAGCTACAGCACTCGTAGATACTGGTAGCACAACAAGTTTCATCAATGCTACCTTCGCCCACCTCTAAAAATTCAAAACGTGTTTTTCAAATGAACGAATCCATATGGCATCCGTATCCTTGATATCTGAAGTAGAAGGAAAATGCGTCGTTGATATCAAACTGAACCAACAAATCTACAAGAACGTCAAACTATTGATCATGAAGAATCTTTGTGCGGACATAATATTAGGACATGATTTCCTCAAGGATCATTCTGCAATTGAGTTATTTTTCAATGGAACTAGAGACCCACTCAAGATCTGTAGTCTTTCGCAAGCTATGATACCTCCAGTTTCTCTATTCCAGAATGTGAAGCAGAATTGTAAGCCCATTGCTATAAAATCAAGACGATACTCTCAGGAAGATCTGAAATTCATAGAGTCTGAAGTCGAAAAACTCCTCTTGAACGGTATAATTGAAAAGAGTAATTCACCCTGGCGAGCACAAGTTTTAGTTACATTCAATGCTAATCACAAGAAACGTATGGTAATCGATTACTCGCAAACAATCAATAGATTTACAGACCTTGACGCTTATCCATTACCCAATATAGAGGATATCATCTCCAAAGTTTCTAAATACAAGATTTTCAGTACAGTCGACCTTCAGAGTGCCTATCATCAAATTCCTATTTCTGATAAGGAAAAACATTTCACAGCATTCGAGGCATGCGGAAATCTATTTCAGTTTCGTAGGATTCCATTCGGAGTTACCAATGGAGTCGCATGCTTCCAGAGAACCATTGATTTCATTATCAAACATGAAAGATTGATAGGAACATATGCATATCTTGATGATATAACTATCTGTGGGGAAACTCAGGTTGAACATGACCAGCATCTGAAATCCTTTTTTGAAGCTGCAGAAAAATATAATTTAACAATCAATGAGAGTAAATCAAAATTCAGTCAGAACGCCATAAATCTACTCGGATATACGATATGTAATGGACAGATCAAACCAGATCCAGATCGCCTCAGACCTCTCCTCGAACTACCGCCACCAAGTGATCAAGCTTCCCTCAGAAGAGCTGTCGGCATGTTTTCCCATTATGCAAAATGGATATCTAAATTTTCTGAAAAGATTCATCCTCTCATTCAATGTTCTTCTTTTCCATTACCAGCGGACGCTTTATCTATGTTCCAAATATTGAAATCAGACATAGCAAAATCGATGGTGACAGCAATTGACGATAACATCATATTCTTGGTCGAAACAGATGCATCAGATTTTGCTATTGCAGCTACTCTATCTCAAGCTGGGAGGCCAGTTGCTTTCTTTTCAAGAACACTTACTGATAGTGAGAAACGACACTCAGCTGTAGAAAAGGAAGCTTATGCCATAGTTGAATCTTTAAAGAAATGGAAACATTTCCTCATCGCACGTCCTTTTCAACTGATGACAGATCAAAGATCAGTGTCTTTTATGTTCGATACCAATCACACGAGTAAGATAAAAAATGAGAAAATACAACGTTGGCGCTTGGAACTCTCCAGTTATAAATTCGATATACTGTATAGGCCAGGAAAGCTGAACGTCGTAGCAGACACATTTTCCAGAATATGTGCGAATACCAATGATGATTCAAAGTTGATCAACCTTCATAGGTCCCTTTGCCATCCTGGAATAGCCCGAATGGTACATTGGATCCGCACCAAAAATCTCCCTTATTCAGTTGAAGATATAAAGAGAGTCATATCTTCATGTCCTGCATGTGCTCGGGTAAAGCCTCGATTCTATAAGAATGAAGGGAAATTGATAAAAGCTACAATGCCATTTGAACGACTAGCTCTGGACTTCAAAGGCCCATTACCATCTACTACCTCCAATCGGTACCTCCTCACGATAGTAGATGAATTTTCAAGATTTCCATTTGCGTATCCGTGTTCAGATATATCAGCTTCTACAGTCATCAAACATTTGACATGCCTGTTCTCTACGTTTGGTATGCCAAGTTATGTCCACTCTGATCGGGGTTCTGCTTTCATGTCGTATGAGCTCAAACAATTTTTGCAATCTAGAGGAATAGCCACGAGTCGTACAACTCCATACAATCCTGCAGGCAATGGACAGATAGAAAGGGAAAATGGAACCATCTGGAGAACTATTCAATTAGCATTACAGACAAGGGGACTGAAAATAAATCAATGGGAATTTGTATTACTAGAGGCATTGCATTCAATTAGATCACTACTCTGTACTGCAACGAATGCTACTCCACACGAACGTATGTTTTTGCATAACCGACGGTCTTCGAATGGACATAGTTTACCCACATGGCTGACTACTCCAGGTTCTGTAATCCTAATGAAGAAACATATTCGTCAAAACAAATATGAACCACTCGTCGAAGAAGTGGAATTACTGGAATCTAATTCTGACTATTCACATGTGAGACTTTCTGATGGGAGAGAAATCACCATTTCTAACCGACATCTAGCTCCTGGAGGGGAAAGAGAAGATAAGGAAGAAAATATTGTGCCGATTTCTGATGAACATCAAGAAATATCTGAAGTGAGCCGCGATGAATCAGGAAATCAGGTGCTACCTGGAAATGTTGACACATCAGAAGCAGTTATCCAAGGAGATGCCAATCCAGCTACGATTCATTCTGATCAGATGGAGATTCTACCAGAAAATCCGAATCTCACATCAGAAACAACACTTCAAGAAAATACGAACCCTCATATGATTCATTCTGATAGGAATTCTAACATTACTTCACGATTGAGGCGAAATGTTAGACCACCAAAATATTTAGAATTGTATCAGCGTTATTATTAAGCTGGGGAGAATGTGATGAATCATCTTCATCTAGTTTATGAAACATACTGTACTTTTAGTTGTGACATTTGTCATATTGTTATATTCTGATATGTCTATCATTTTGCTCAATAAAGCCAATCCTTTGGTTTGAATATTCTTCACTCTTATATCCGCAAAAATATTGATATAATGTATCCTTACTACTTCTATGTAGCAAAATACAACAGAATGAAAGCCGATATAGTACAATCGGCGTCAAATCGTTCACAATGACAACACTGGTTATATCCGAGACACCGTCAAGAAGAACAGTGCTGCCATCGTTACGCCATGACCAAATAGAAAAATGAAAGCCATTGCATTTTTCAGAGATGCATATTTGTATCGCTATTGATGCCGCGATATTCAAATCAAATACTATTATTGAAATAATTTCGTAGGTATGATGACAGATTTTTTCATGGTGAACAATAATGACGTCAATAGTATGTCAACTAAACGTCACGATATAGACATCGTTTTTCGGGAAGAGTAATCACATCATTATGACGGTTATTTGAATCACGTTAAATTGACGTCATAAGAATCGGCGTCATTTCAACGTCCTATATTGGTCACACGACGTTTCTGACCAATATTGACCTGAAATTGACGTCATAAAGACGTCTCTAAAGACAACTGTGCTACCTGGGGAAATAACAATGCTTTATACACTACGCCTTTTGATTTAATTTTCAGTAGAAAAATCATTGAAATTATTTATTCAGGTTAGGTCAATGAAAGAGACAACTTTGACACAACCACCACAGTGTCGCCATTTTGGAAATAAATGTCCACTTGTGATATGTCATTGAATAGGGATTTCTTTGATCTATATTGAATGGCGTAAAAATATCTGCAGGGTTCCATTTGGAATTCTAGACCTAGGTCGAGACATAGAGGTCAATTTCCGGTGAAACCGGAAATTATATTCAAATGTCCAGATGTCAAAACTCATCATGAAAAACAACTGAATAATGCCCTGTCCAATGAATTTGTTGTCACCAGGTATAATAGGTACTTATATCCATAGAATTTAATTGAATCATGATGGAGACTTACCTGTGCCATTTGGAAGATCTTGAACATATGTAGGGAAACATTTAACAATCGATTCCGAGTGTGTTTGTTTCTTCAATCCTTTGTTCACATTGTCTAAGAAAACCTCCATGATTTTTCGAAGTTTGTCATTGTCCAATATCAGTTCGCGACATTTCTCCCGTATCTGTAATGAAAGAAAAAACAAATAGATGAAATGTCTATTAAATAATGTAAACAGTGCTAGCCAAATGCCTTTTTTTCCGCCACCTGTGTATATTTTGAACGGTTGTCCTCATTGACATTTGGAAGGTGAAGATGAATGGATACAAAGTATTTTCAAAGTAGTTTTCGAGAGGTAATTGGTGAAGAAATCATCATAGATCACCTCGTAGATCACGTCAAAGTAAAAGGCATCAGATTGTTTTCAATATTTCCAATGCAGGATTTATATAGCTTATATAGGACCCATACTTTCTTAGGAGCCCTCCAAAAAATGTCCGATTGAGGCCCCCCACAAAAATTGTCTGATTAGGAGCTCCCAAAAATTGCCCCATTGAGCAATTGTCATAGCAGTGTGACCAAGATAAGGTTGCACAGCATGGGGATCTCAGAAACGGGTTGAGATACAAATAATGATAATAATGATAATAAAATAATATATTCATCCTTTTTGATCACAAAGAAACATGATATAGGATATATGTCAGTAGAAGAAAGTACTCGTCAGAATAAAATTACATTTAGAACTATATATATAATATGAATACATCACAATACAGTAACTTAGTAGAACATATACATACATATATAAACATCTAATATTTTTTGTTTAAAAGTTCATATGTATCATAGAAATATTCGTTGCATATGAACTTTTTGAGTTTATGTTTGAATAAATCGAAGTTGTGTTCCAATCTTATACACAGACCAGCAAATGATTAAAAAATTGGATTCCCTTGTACAGGGTGGGCCAAATTGTGCACTTCTGAAGGGAAAGTCCTATTCCCGTACAAGATAGAAAAAAACTGATGTCGGTGCTTGTTCTCGAAGGTGAAAATCGCATATCGATATCTATCTTTATTTCATAGTTACAAGGTGTTTTTCGAAAATGTGAATTTTTGAAAAGTGGCTAAAACTCTTTTTTTTGTAAAAATTCCAAAGCAATGTGTTTGTCATGAAAATTGATCCTCAGGAACTGAAATCAGTCACCGTATACCTAGTTGCATGATAGAAACTTTTCTTTCAAGAAGAACAATTTATATTCTGGAACTAGATATACGAAGGCCGATTTCAGTGTCACGAGGACAATTATTTTCATCACGAACTCAATGCTTTACAGTTATTTTCATGAGAACAGACAATTTTTTCCGAAAAAAATATCTGTGTCTCAGGCACCGACTTCAGCTTTCTTCCATCTGGTTCGAGAATAGGACTTTCCCATTAAAAGTGTCCAATTTGGCCCACCTTGTACATTGAGCTTCTTTCATACAGTGTGTCCCACTTACCATGCTCACCATGGGTATCTTTTTAACGGTGAGAGATGCGAGGTCGGTTAAATGACACCAAATGTGGAGTTTGTCAGGGCCAACTATAAGGTGAAAAAATATTTTGATAAAATCTATTCGTTTTTGTTTTATACGCAAAAAACAAATTTTTATCATTTTCATGCCTCCTCCGTAACTTCTTTATTTATGAAAATATTCGAATAGGAATTTCACATTCTCATGACAGTTTTTCAAAGTGATTTCAAAAAAAAATCTGAAATTTATACCAACTCTTCTAGAATTTGAGATTTCAGCACCAACTTTAGTTTTTCAAATGTAGGTCATAGCTCACTATGACTTAGTTACAAATAACTTTTTTTCTCTTACAGATGATATGTCGCAGTAATAGTTTTGTGTTGATAACAACGGCGTTATCGTCATTTATACAAAAACAAAAAATTATTTGGAAGCCGCCATCTTGAATTCATGAATTTTAACAAAAAAATCATGATCTCCGACCTCAAAAACCCCCACTTACCAATTTTGAATAAAATCGGACCAAATCTTGTCCGCCATCTTGGAGGAGCCATTTTTTTCAATTGATGGCGGACAAGATTTGGTCCGATTCCATTCAAAATTGGTAAGTGGGGGTTTTTGAGGTCGGAGATCATGATGTTTTTTGTTAAGATTTATAAATTCAAGATGGCGGCTTCCAAATAATTTTTTGTTTTTGTATAAATGACGATAACTCCGTTGTTATCAACACAAAACTATTACTGCGACATATCATCTGTAAGAGAAAAAAAAGTTATTTGTAACTAAGTCATAGTGAGCTATGACCTACATTTGAAAAAAAAGTTATGGAGGAGACATGAAAATGATCAAAATCTGTTTTTTTGCGTATAAAACAAAAACGAATAGATTTTATCAAAATATTTTTTCACATTATAGTTGGCCCTGACAAACTCCACATTTGGTGTCATTTAACCGACCTCGTATCTCTCACCGTTAAAAAGATACCCATGGTGAGCATGGTAAGTGGGACACACTGTAACGACACAGATAATCTGTGGTAACGACTTGTGCCGTGTTTGGGGGATTGAAGTTCGAGTAGGATAGTCGTGATAGTCCGTTGAAAGAAAAAATCTTGTAATAAGTATTGGCATAAACTATGCATTTGTAGATATTAATTAAATGAAATGTGGGAAGCTCATATGTTATGGTTGAATAGGAGCAAAATTGCGCATTCAGAGGACCATTCCAATAGCTTTCGAATATTTTCAAAATTATTCACCTATAGTTTTTCAGTTATATCGAGAAAAGATAATTTTTCGAAAATCAATTTCATTTTTCCTACGTCTTATTGGAGATATAGAAAAACCCAAAATACTTCTTTATAGCAACCTCTGATGATGATATTTAATGTGGTAATTTTGATTTCTCTATACGACGTTTCATATCCGTAGAACTATCATAAACTTATGTATTCTAAATACGGTACTGATTATTATTATTATTCAAAGTGATTTGAATGTTTCGACATTGTTTTAGCAATCATCAATGTATTTTTCGAAATTTCATAGGCAAAATAACATCAGTTTCACTAATTTCTGATCATTTAGTATCAAATATCAAGATCACTTATTTGATAGGTACTGAAGAGTAAAAAACAATATTTCACTAAATTATTCAACGAAGCGCTTCAAATTGACTCATATTAATGACTTCTTACTTGAATCACTAAACTTTGACACGAACAGCGAAAACAAAAACATTCATAATAAACGTTCAAATTGATTACCATTATTTATAAAAGATATCCCCTTCACATACATTACTTTACTAAAACCTACATAGCATAAAAAATATTATCGTATTCTTTATTGATCATTTTGATAAAAAGAACGATTTCATAATTACAATTGGAAAAACCAATAAGTTATAAGTATTGGAATTTCGAAGCAACATTGATGATGGCTAAAATTAGGATGAAACACATTCAAACTACGTTGAATAATACATGTTTGTATTCGGAATGAAAGAAGTTTCAGAATCTGTTAACTCAGGACCGTATTTAAAAATCGTATAGAGGAAATATTATAAACACTTTAAATCCCATCAACAGTTGACATCTCTAATAATAACGTAAAGGAAATTGAATAGAATTTCCAAAAATCATCTTTTTTGGACATAACTGGAAAACTATAGATAATTTTCAAAATTTTGGAAGGCGGAATGCGCAAAATTTTTCCTCATTTCATTTGACTGAATTTGCATCTTCTACACCATGCATTTGTAACCTTATGCATATCAAATGCACTGCAGCTCTGCAGCATTATTCGTCCCAATGCAAGTCTGGCCCCATTATCTCAAGAAGCTTATTAGGACCTTATCAATTCTCAGTCCGGCCCAGAGTATTCCTTTATTTTTTTCATAAGGTGAAGTGTATTTAAGCCAAATGATTACGATAACGATACTGTTGCCTCCTACAAATAACTACTATTATGACATTTTCTAGTGTCGCCAGTTTTTTACCAATCCATGATAACTTGCCGATGCAGTAATAAGTATTTTTTTTATCGTACCTACTTTGGCTCTAAAGTTTTAGAGATACACAAAGTAAACCTATGGTATCGTTGATATTTCCTGTGCGAGTGTCCGACTATATCAATTACTGACCTATTTGAAATTCCGCTGATTTTCCTTTTTCTCACCCTAAATATTCCTAATATATCAAAAAATGGGTTTTCAAAAATCAAAATTGAAATTGACCAGTCCGAGTTTTTTTAGCAAACACTCAGAATAACAGAAACATTAAATTGATTTCATACCATAGCATGATACTGTATTATACTCATTAATGAAAATAAATAATAATACCTATTTGCCAAACGCATTTGCCTATCAAAATTGATAATAAAAGGTCACATAATATAAATATACTCTGTGTCCTAGATTTAGATTAGGATATATAAAAAAACGATAATGTATAGATTTCTGATTGAATATGGATGAAATTGCATCACGGAAGAGCCGTGTACATGAAATAATATAATGCTCAAAATCATCATTAATAATTTTCTGAATATTTTGATAAAACTAAATATTTATATTCAGAATTTTACTTTGTAGTTCTATCGTAGTCCATGTACAGGGTGATTCACCATAAATGTCCCCCCCTCTAGCTCACTTATATTTGAACCGATTTGAAAACTTGAAAAATCATCTAAGATGATTTTTTCGAAATTTTTTCCCGTTGCATCAGAAAATACAGGGTGCTCGGAACAAACGATCTACAGAGTACGACTTGATTTTTTCAAATGGATGACCTGTATTTCATTGTATTTTTCGATTCTCCCTGAAGAACTGATTTCATCAATAAATCACACTTGGGGTCTAGCGGGAATGATTACAGATATATATAGGGTGTTCAAAATCGAGATTTTTCAACTTTATTAAGATCTTTTTGTTTCGGAACTATTCATTATTGGTCAAAAGGGCTTTGACGTCTCTATCTCAACTTTTGATTCATTATCTACTGACATTTAATTGGAACATATACAGTGTGGTTCAAGATTCAGAATTCTGATCACCCTGTATCTGTGTCAATTATTAAATGTCAGTAGAGAGTAGAATCAAGAGTTAATATAGGTCATGAAAGCCGTTTTGACCGATAATGAATAGTTTCGTCACAAAAAAATCCTAAAGTTGAAAAATCTCGATTTTGAACACCCTATATCTCTGTAATCATTTTCGCTAGACCCCAAGTGTGATACATTGATGAAATCAGCTCTTCAGGAAGAATCTGAAAATACAATGGAAAATAGGGTGTTCTATTTAAAAAAATCGAATAGTACCATGTAGATCGTTTGTTCCGAGCACCTTGTATTTTCTGATATAGCGGAAAAAAACTCGATCGAAAATCATTTCAGATAATATTTAAAATTTTGCAATCGGTTCAAAAATAACTGAGCTAGAGGGGGGGACATTTATGGTGAATCACCCTGTACATATAACATGTTTATTGAAGACGACTGTACTTATTCATGTATCATTTTCTACGTTTTGCAGATGTTTCAAAATACAAACAATAGAT